CTACTGCCAGGTCAGTGTGACTTGGGCTCTGGGACACACCCCTGTCTGCCTATGGTGTGCCTGGGGTTGTGGGAGGTTTCTCCACCTGGGACCTGTGCTCTGTTTCCCCAGGCCCGGTACCAACTTTGGCCACTTAGCTGGCCTCTGGGACCTTCCAGAGTGACAAGGACAGACTTGTTCCTACAACACTCCCACACATATTCACTATTCCCTTCCCTTTCTTTCTCCTGCACACGTATCCCACATGCTTGGCACTGTGCCAAGCAGGGGGCCCTCAGCTACCCTGTCCTCCTGCACCGACATCCCTCCCTAACTCTCTCTCATAGGAGGATCTCTAATGGAGGGGAGGAAACCAGGGAGGGGGTTATGTTGGAATTCTGACTGTGACCTGCCTCCTTGCCTTTCTCCTCCTTCCATGTCCTTCTTCTGGGCCAGGCCTCCCAGCCAGAACTTCCCGAACTCCATCTTTCATGATTTAACTGGATGGGACTTAATTGGATGAAAGCAGCAGTCCCCAAACCTTGTTGGAAAAAAATGTTTTGTGGCCACTAAGGTTTGGGAAATCCTGGCCTATGGAAATTGACAGGTTTCCTCACTGCAGACCTTCTCAGAGCCTTGAGTATGCTAATATGCACTGTAAGTCTCCAAGAGGAGGTGATGAATGCAGTGTGTCCCAAATGAACCTGACCACAGAAACTTTTTTCCCCCGTGGAGCATTGTTGACATCTAGTGGATACGGCTGAATTAAAACAATGTACAGTAATGTGTGTGTGCACTTAATAGAGTCCGTTCCCCTGGGGATATGTGCATCTGAAGAAAAGAGTATATCAGAGCTTCCCACTAATTCACCCAGTCCTGCACCGGCATTCTGTGCATGGTTCCTGAGTAATTTGGTGGTGCTAGGCACTCCTCTGGGTGCTGGCAATGCAAAACCTGGCACCCTTCCTGCCGGAATCTAAGGGAACATCTGTTGAACAGCTGGGAGTCTGGCCCGGAGGCCTCACCAGCAGCCACACCTACCTGAGGCCTTTCCTCACCCTCCACTAGCACAGGAATAACAGCGCCCTCGTTGGCAGGAGGGTGTGGCTTGGCACAGGACCGTGGCGACCCCTCGTGGGGTCTTACCAGTGCGAAAGGGGCTCCAGTGGCCCCGTAGAAATGTTTTCCAAACTTCAGTTCCCAACCACCGTGCTGAGTTCAGCCACATCTGGGAACTGGCTATACTGTTGTTTATGCCACATGTTTTTCTTTAGATCGACTTTCTTTAAAAAAGAAATTTGAATTTACTTAAAAGAGAAATGTTATATCATGACTGTAAATGGTCATTCCCGTGTGCTTCTGATGTATGTATATGAAAATGCATTACTGTCAATATAAAAAGAATGCTTTTCTGGATCCCACCTAAAATCATCTCGCATGCTATCCTTCACTCCCACCTGCCCCTCCAAGATTCTCCTCCACGCATGCGAGGACTGCGGGCCTGTCCAGCAGGCCCAGCACCCTGAGTGATCAGGTGCTCCGTCTGGGAAATAAACCCGAAAGTGCATGCAAGTTCCAAAACCCAGCAAGGTTACTTAAAATGCCAGAGGAAACCAGACCAAAACAAAAGACTGTGACCGTAATTATTTAGAATGGTGGGGTTTTCCCTCTCCTTTTCTCTGTTTTTCAGATCCCCTGTAATAAGGCTGTCAGAACTGAAAAAGTTAATGTGTGTTTACACACAGCACCACCTGGCCCTCCCGACTTCAGAGGGATGGGTTAAGATTAATAGTTCTCACACTCAAGCAAGCATTGGTGTCGCTGGGAGGGCTTGTTAGAACACAGCGTGCCGGATCCCATCCCAGAGTTTTGGAATCAGTGCAGCTGGGGTGGGGGCTGGGAATCTGCTTCTCTTAACACTGCGCTCCCCAAGCCCCAGGCTGCGGCCCAGTAGCCATCTGTGGCCTGTTAGGAAACAGCTGAGTATCACCGCCTGAGCTCCGCGCCGCCTCCCCCAAAGCCACGACACCCCACTTCCCCATCTCCAGTCCATGGAAAAATTGTCTTCCATAAAACCGGTCCCTGGCACCAAAAAGGTTGAGGACCATTGCTCTATCGGGCTCCTGGTGATGCCGGGGCTGCTGGCCCCGGGGCCCATGCTTTCAAAACGTGGGGTTAGATGAATGAGTTGAGAATGTGGAAGGACTTGAAGGATGATCCTGGTGTTCTCGGTGGTGGCCAGGACCCCTCATCCAGGGTGCCGTGTGACTGGCTCCCCGGGAGTCTCAAAAGCACAGCCTGTATAGCCTGTGGCCGCGAGGGTAGCGGGGGGGTGCTTCTTGGTGCCCTCCCTCCCTCTCTCCCTTCCTCCTTCCTTTGCAAGACACTTGCGCAGTTCCATTAGAGAGCATCTGGACACATCTCTGAGCTCTTGAGAGAAAGGTTTCGCTGTGGAAAGAATGGAGTTCAGCTTCTATGCATGAGCTTAAACTGGGGCAGTGTTAATGAAGCCACACCTCATCTTTCTTCCTCCTCTCCTCCAGGGCCCCCTCCTACGTGGCCTCCCCCTGGCGCAGCAACAGAGGAAAGCACGGAAGGCCCTTTTGCAACTGCAGCGCCCTCTGCCTCAGAGGAGCCGTCCCCCTCGCAGGAGCCGTCAGCCTCAGAGGAGCCGTCCACACCTTCACCCCCAGCGCCCAGCGGAACTGAGCCGCCAGGCTCTGGGGAGGCATCTGGGGCCCCTGACATCAGTGGTGACTTCACAGGCAGTGGAGAAGCATCAGGACACTTTGACTTCAGTGGGCAGCCCTCAGGGGTCAGTGCAAGTGGGCTGCCCTCTGGAGAACTTGACTCCAGTGGCCTCACCTCCACAGTGGGCTCAGGCCTGCCTGTGGGAAGTGGACTGCCCTCCGGGGAGGAAGACAGAATTGAGTGGTCCAGCACTCCTGAGATTAGCAGACTGCCCTCTGGAGGTGAGGGCCTAGAGGGTTCTGCCTCTGGAGTAGGGGACCTCAGTGGACTTCCTTCTGGAAGAGAAGGTCAAGAGACTTCTGCCTCTGAAGTAGAGGACATCAGTGGGCTTCCTTCTGGAGGAGAAAGCCTAGAGACTTCTGCTTCTGGAATAGAGGATCTCAGTGGACTTCCTTCTGCAGGAGAAGGTATAGAGACTTCTGCCTCTGGAGTAGAGGACATCAGTGGGCTTCCTTTTGGAGGAGAAGGTCTAGAGACTTCTGCCTC